GTGTGAATACCACTGCCGTAACAGGGGACGACAGAGCTCAGCCTTTACCAAAGATATTATCTCCGCTAACAACCTTCGTACTTTCCAACCACCGGCTCGCCACTGCATGCATAATTAAAACTTGCCCTTTCAGCTATAATAATATATTATACATTGCACTAACCTCCGCCTACGACCTACAGATCAGATTCAGAGCTCTCATCTGAATCTACGCTTGATGCTAAAATTTGTTATGTGTATTTGTAGCTGTATTGTATGAGATAAGACAAGATAAGATCAGATAAGATAAGATAAGCATTAAGAATAACATACACGCACGCACGCACGCACGCACGCACGCACGCACGCACGCACGTACGCACACACGCACGCACGCTCACACTCACGCAAACACACGAAAGCACACACTCACGCAAACACACGAAAGCACACTTGCATGCACACACGGGGAGGGGGTGGGGTGGGGTGGAATTGGTATCACATTCCTTTTATCCTGTTGACGCTATTTGAAGTCTATCGATCTGCATGAGATTGGCTTATTATAGTGCGGTCAAAAATTCGTGGCGCAACTTATAGTCAAATTAAATATCTAGTCAACTATTGAACATAAACTCTCGATCTTTTGCACAGTGGCTTGTATCAATTTGTCTTAACAAATCAATATTTTTGTAAAGACCTGTTCTCTCTATTCTAGAAAATTCCTTAATAAATGCTAGGGGTGGTTTCTCCTGATTTTAAAAAGGTTTATAGCTGGGACGATATTATTTTCGCTTTTAAAAGCAAGTGCGTCATTTTTTTTCCAATCGCGAGACTATCTTTATTGAACGCATGTTTTGGGAACTTTTAGGCCTAGTGCAAAAAAAGTGTTCACGAAAAATTAATTTCTTGTAACCAGTCTAGTTTTGCCACTAAAAAGTATCATTGGTGACCTGTGACGTAGGCCATATGCGTAAACAAAATGTGTGTGAGAAGCGGGAAGTGCTGTGTGTGAGCAATTCCATTTTTATTTCCGCGCAAAGGAGACTTACTTGTAGTATTAATTTTATATTAACTTTTGAAGAAAGTTTTTAATACAGCCTCAACTGTTGTGGAAAAATATGATTAAGTTAAGAATTGAGACAAACTGCAGAGCAAACTATGGATGACACTGGTTCACCCGTTAAAAAGACATTAAAAGATAAGTTGCGCCACGAATTTTTGACCACACTATGGAATAATAATTTACCGCACTTTGTCACACTTTCTTTTCTGTGGCTCTGGGAAAAGAAATTAATCATCCTATCATACATGTTTGTTTTGTTTTACTCTGTTGTCAGTGTTGTTTAGTGAGTATGTGCGTGCTGTTTTGAGTATGTGTGCTAGTGTGTGTGCGTGTGTGTGTGCGTGTGCGTGTGTGTGTGTGTGTGTGTGTGAGTGTGAGTGTGTGTGTGTGTGTGTGTGTGTGTGTCTGTCTGTCTGTCTATCTGTCT